TCGCTGCGGGCTGGCAGCCCGCACGGGCCCAAGGCTTCTACAAAGGCTCTGAGTCGCTGCGGGCTGGCAGCCCACACGGCCCCAACGCTTCTACAATCGCTGCGGGCTGCCCGCACGGCCTCAAGGCTTCTACAGGCTCTGACTGAGTCGGCTGCCAGCCCGCACGGCCTCAAGGCTTCTAGAAAGGCGCTGAGTCGCGGCGGTGTCAGGCTTCAAGGCTTCTACAAAGGCTCTGAGTCGCTGCGGGCTGCCGGCCCGCACGGCCTCTCGGCTTCTACAAGGCTCTGAGTCGCTGCGGGCTGGCAACCCGCACGGCGCCAAGGCTGCTACAAAGGCTCTGAGTCGCTGCGGGCTGGCAGCCCGCACGGCCCAAGGCTTCTACGAAGGCTCTGAGTCGCTGCGGGCTGGCAGCCTGCACGGCCGCAAGGCTTCTATACAAAGGCTCTGAGTCGCTGCGGGCTGGCAGTCGCACGGCCCCAAGCCTTTTACAAAGACTCTGAGTCGCTGCGGGCTGTCAGCCCGCACGGCCCCAAGGCTTCTACAAAGGCTCCGCAGACCAGCCCGCACGGCTTCAAGGCTTCTACAAAGGCTCTGAGTCGCTGCGGGCTGGCAGCCCGCACGGCTCCAAGGCTTCTACAAAGGCTGTGAGTCGCTGCGGGCTGGCACGGCCCCACGGCTTCTACAAAGGCTCCGAGTCGCTGCGGGCTGGCAGCCCGCACGGCCCCAAGGCTTCTACAGAGGCTCTGAGTCGCTGCGGGCTGGCAGCCCGCACGGCCCCAAGGCTTCTACAAAGGCTCTAAGTCGCTGCGGGGTGGCAGCCCGCACGGCCCCAAGGCTGCAACAAGGCGCGCACTAGAGGGTGTAAGGGGCAACCTCTGCACCACAACCCTGGCGCAAGAAACGAAAGAAAGAGAGAGAGAAAAAGGGGCAAAACAAGCAAAACGAGAGAAAGACAAAGCGTAAGAAATGGATGCCCAGGAGAAAGATTAACATACATAGAAACAATGCAGAGAGAACGAAGGCTCCAAAAGATCCCAAACAACAGCCACAAGAGACATAGATGAGACGAAAGCATTGAATGGCAACCACCGCCCCTTTTTGCCGTGGACAAATAGTGTCCTTCTAGCCACCGACCATGTGCCGCAACATCCGAGCCAACGGGCACACGTGAGAGCCAATGTCAGAGCCGCGGCAGTCGATAAAACTGTCGATGCAAGATGATGGAAGCTTGCGGCACGATGCAGGATCGCTTGGTTGAACTGCCCGCCCCTGAGAGGGCTGACTGCCGGAACCAGCCTGCTTGTTGCTTCACGGCAGGAGACGTTTCCAAGGATAGTTGATGTTGCATATGTTGCAACAGGAACGCAAAGGATTGCTCGGCACCGAAATGTGTCTGGGCCCAAGTCCATTGACACGAAGACTGCTCTGCACCGCCCAGGTTTGCCACTACACCGATGCCTGTTCTCGAGAACACGGTCTTGCAAGCTTTGGATGCAAAGGAGCCAGCAGCTTCGTCCCATGTCAACGTTAGCAATGTCGGCCTGCTATTGAACTAATGAAGTCTGAGCCTGCGACGATTCAGTCTGTCTACGCGTGGCCTGACACCCAATCTCAGGAGAAACCGCGCACTGGTCCGAAGCCCGGGAACATTCGTGGTTGAAGGTGCAATGTGCCGTTGGCTCTATATTGAACAGGAAGAGCGGAAGAGCTTGATGCTGGGTTGAGGTGCGACGCGGTCCCGGCGTCTGCAGCTGCGGCTGGAGCGACTCGAAGTTCGTTAATGGCGCTGGGTTTCTCGAGACTTGAAAGGCTTGGGGTGCAGAAATTCGGATTTTCAGCAGCATCCAAGGTTTGCGGGGCTGAGGACAACCACGAAACTCTTGCGTAGCACAAGCTGATCTGCTCAAGGTTGCAAAATGGCCAAAAACAGATTGAAGACTGAAAAGCACATGTAATTTAGAGGAATCTAGGATGTTGAAATCAGTCAAAGCATTCCAGAGGCTTGGAGGCTTGGAGCTTCTAAGCGCGATTTCAATCGGGAAGCAGTGCTTTACTTGCTGAGTCGCCTCGGAGCAGCGCAGGGGGTGGGCTATTTCGCAATGGCGACACATCCTAAAAAGACGCTGCTGGCAGCAGTCTGCGTCATTGTTGCCATCGCGCTCTCGGCCTACAGCTACTCGGCGCCCATTCGGGCTGCCAGGGTTCCGGACAAGGCTCATCACAAAATCGACAAACTTGGGGTTTTCCACTCGCACGCAGAATTTATGCATTACGTCACGAACGTTGTGAGAATGCTGGAGCGGGGGACGAAGATCCTGTGTGGCCTCTGCATTCTGGGCTGCATCAAAGCCTGCAGTGGCCTTGTGGCAACCTCTTCTGCTGCCATGTGGTCACCGGGACTACTGGCTGTCCTCGCATATTTTGTAGCGCAATTTGTTGGGCCGCCTGGCATTGTTGCTGGCATCGTTTATTTTGGTGCCAAAACAAAGGCCGCGAATGTTGGTGTAATGGCAGCGAAGGTTGCGCTTGCAAACGCATCAGCAATAGGAGCTCTTGTGTGCGGACTGCTGTCGGTGCTGTTCCAAGTGGCTGAAGCTCATCTTCAACCTCCCTGATGTGTGTCACAAAGGCTATGACAGACCAGTGAACGGAATGGTTTTGAGCAGTGTAGCTGGATACCACTTGCGATGGAGAGTGGTGCGGTTCAAAAGTGCCATGTGCAAGTGGGGGGGGGGGGATCCACATCTCTCCTTGGGGAGCTTGCGCGGCTGTGACATCGTAGGGGACGTGTACTGAACACCTCAGGAGCCAAGCCGCCAGTAGCACCTCGGTAATCTTGCGGTAACTCCGGTCTTCATACGCACGAAGTCGATGGTATCTTGTCTAGAATCTAGAACCCAGTAAAGGTTTGACTGACATTGAAGCGAACAGATTGACACCAAAGACAGAAAGCACCCAACCACGAAAACACAAGCACACGCATGTACATGCGCGCACACACAGACATAAGAAGAGCACAACGTGAAGGAACAAACTTACTTTAGACTTTGATGCTGAACCTGCTCCAGCACAGTGCGGACCCGCCACGTATCGTGAAGCCATGGCAATGTCTCAACAAATCAACAAGCCAGCAAAGAAACAAGCAAGCCATCCAACACGCAATATGCCGATGTGCTGAAGCAAACTGCAGTTCTCAAGTTAAGCAGAGGCTGTGCCGAGGAAGCTTGCAGGCCCTCGGTTCGGCTCTTGGCCTGGCGCCTAGTCCTAGCTTTGGGATGCTGATCCTTGCCGCTTTTCCCGTAGGACCACCGACTGTTCCGGCCCTTCTTTGTTCCGGACCCTCTCTGCCTGTTCTACCTCCTCATCTGTCATGACATCCGGCAAGACTTTCTAGGAAGTTCAGGAAGTTCACTGGCAGTCTACCTCTGCCGTTCAGCCGTACAGGTTCTTACATCGTTTCAGGGAAAAACAGCACTCAAAGAACCATGCGACTGCTACGAACTACGAACCAGGGAATTTCCTTGACGTCGTCGGGCCCATGAAAGCTGCCGATCACAAGCCTCCTGGTGGCAAGGGTTCGACGCCTGCGCCGCCTTTTCCTTGTTTGAGCGCAGACTCAAAAAACCCGAGCCTTGGGCCTCGGACCTGAAGCTACCAAACGCAGCGCTTGGCCCATGTAGGGCGCCGCTTGAACCATCCTCGACACATTCCAGGCTAGTCGCCGAAGCCCTCGCGCTCGACAAGCTAGTCTTCAGCTCTGCTGAGGAAGCACTGAAGCAGTATGTGCCGGGCTCAGATCGGCATGACGCAGCGCTCCCCGTTCTGAGCAGAACAGGGACACGGAATTAGGATTCACGGGTCCTCACGTCCGAGACATTTTGGTGGCATGTGCCGAGTGCTAGTGGCATTCGTGTGGCAGGTCCAGGCCGGCGTGGCAGCCCCGGACAGACGCCAGGCTGTGGGCTATAGCCTATAGTGCTATAATTTATACGGTACCGTGGGGACATTGACCTGAGCAAACCGGGATACTCTTACGGGTTTCGCAGCGAGAGACCTGGATAATGAGTCGCATCCTTAGCACAGACTTTCTGGTCAGAAACGACCTGGCGCATCGAGTGCACATCCGTGAGCAGCAGTAGGTCCTTATCACTGCCAGCTCGAAGCACACGGAGCACACGAGCATATGCAGAAGCACTCCCTGTGGCAGATTGACCAGTAATGAATAATGCACTCCCTATTGCAGATCGACCGATTATTCTTGCTAGTTGGGGTCCGTTGTCATGTGGCATAGGTTTGGAAGCATGTCAGTACGATATGCAGGTCGTACCTGCTCATGGCAGTTGCATTGGAGGTGGTCCCGGAACCAACGGCACATGATCGGGAGATCTAAAATCTATTGTAGGGCCAAGAAGGAACAGGATGTACAGGTAGTGTGCTAGAAACTTGTTTGGACAGTTGGATCTTAAAGAACGCGTCTTCCATCTCTTCTTCATGTTAACAACGCGCTCTGCCAGTCCGTGGCGGCCCTGCTCGGTGTCCTCCAAGTCCAAGCACGTGCGCGACAACCCTGGGAAGCCAGAGCCCAGGGCAGGTTGATCGGTCGAACCCACGTTCTTGGGTAGCCTTTGCGTCTTCGACGGGATGACCAGGTGACAGCAGCGCAGCGGTTGATCACCGATGCAGGTCCCTGGAATGTTCTGCAGCAAATGTTGGGTCTGCAGCTGGAGTCTGTGCGATTCGGGCAGATTTTTTCATGCCGTGACGGGTCATGACATGATATAGGTGACAGGGCCTACTTCTAGAATATGGGCATCGCAACACTGACCCATTGCGTTTGCCAATGCAGAGCGGCGCGTGGTTTCGTGCAAACATCCGAAGACATGTCCTGAATACTCAACACGGGGAGAAGAGGACTGTTTAGTCTTCTAGCTTCCAGATTCCAGACTAACGCTCGAGACTTTTTTGCGAGGAGGCGCAGGCGACCCTGCAAGCAACTCTCGACGCAAGCTCGCCTCAGGTGAGGAGGGCGAAGTGCCCGAGTGGATGCTGGAACATGCAGTGTGCTGGTGGGCCGATCTTCTCGCCTCCCAGCCGGAGAGGTTGCAGGACTTCTCGAAGCACTTTTCGACACCCTGGCCTGGCTTCCGGTTTCGGTCTGAGGGGCTCAGAGGCATTCTAGATTCCATTAGATTCCCATATGATGTGTCACCTGCCGGCCGAATCCTTCGCTGGCACGTTCTCAGCCAGCTCGTGAG